GGGGAGAGGTCAATGGGGGAAAAAGAAGACTTATGTAATACTTTAAACAGTAAAGAATTTTAAAAAGAGAAAAAAAAAACCTAACTCTAACTTGTAAGAATTAGCATGGGCTCACTGAAAACTTCTCATGTGGTTTTGAGGTATTCACCTTTTTGAAAATTATGAGCCAGCTCAAATAGTTTTTAAAACATATAGGGGTATAAATAAATACAATAAATAGCTTATATGCAATAAAATGAAATAAACAAATAGTGATGCCCAAGTAGTGCTCTAATTACTGTTATCATAGATTGGGAGAATGCTACAGATATAGAGTAATTAAAATAACTAACAGATTTTATTAGGGTAAGGAACCTGAGGGATTTAATGTGGTATCCCTGATGCCTACTATAATGTTTATTTAACACAATAAAGGTATTCAAATAAGTATTTGTTAACTGAGTGCACAAAATCATTTTTATCAAGGCATGTGACAAAATCTCTCATTATATCCTTGGAAAATTAGATATTAATTAAATGGCTTCTAAGCTCTCATTTCTCTTTAACATTAAAAAAAAATCACCTCAAACATCTCAAAAATAATGTATTACTCATACAGAACTTTCAAGTGTGCAAAAAAACCCCAACCAAACAACTTCAATAAACCAACCAACATTTTTATCAAGGCATGTGACAAAATCTCTCATTATATCCTTGGAAAATTAGATATTAATTAAATGGCTTCTAAGCTCTCATTTCTCTTTAACATTAAAAAAAAATCACCTCAAACATCTCAAAAATAATGTATTACTCATACAGAACTTTCAAGTGTGCAAAAAAACCCCAACCAAACAACTTCAACAAACCAACCAACCAATCAACCAACCAACCAACCAACCGGATTTCCTACCTGTGAACCCCTTGTCAGTACATGTAAAAACTGAATGCCAAAAAGTCTAGCCATTTCACTGGTTTTTCCAATCAGGTCCAGCTGTTCTAACATTTGGAGATTTCCGCGCACACGGCTGATGTAATGATCAACCATTTTCCATCTGTTAAAAGAGAATCGATGCTATGAATATTAGGAAAAAATTGGGACACCTGAAATTAGTACTGTTTTCATTCTGCCAAAACATACATATTAATAGTGAGGTTATTTAAAGAGTAATGATGTATGTTAAAGTATGTTAAAGAATTAAACATTAGAAAATTTCAGATATTTCCAAAGCATGAAACTTAGTGAAAATATGCAAAGTTTGAAATAGCGCTTGTGATAAGATGGTAAGACTAAACGTAATTATTTTCAATATTTTTCTTGGTGTTACTTTTTGTTCTAAAAAAATTAACATACTCTCCTAGATGCACTACTGATGATGCAATAATTATACAATTATAATTTATCATATCTGTAGGTGTTTTTATATCCTTGCCCAATATTTTTTTATTTTAGAGAGAGGGAGTGAAAGAGAAAAACATTGATGTGACAGAGAAACACTGATTGTTTCCTCCCATATGCCTCAACCAGGGATTGACAGGAAACCTTTTGGTGTATGGGATGATGTCCCAACTGAGCCATTGGCCAGGGCAGCTATCTATA